GGTAACTATACACAATATAAGCAGAAAATCTAAAAAGATGAAGTGTAGGATGTCACCAGAAAAAATAGAATGACAACCAAAAATAAAAAAAGACAAAAATAGGGACTGGAAAGTAGCTTTTTAAAAAAATAAATTACATATTCAATCCAGGAATGTGTAATATTTCAATAATAGGAGTTCCAGAAAGAGAAGATGGTGGAGCGGAAAATATCAAAGGACTATTACAGGGAATTGTATAAATGAAGGATGTGGTTCTCTTGGTTGAAAAAACCCACTTGAAAAATGATCTAACCACACTTCTGGACATCAGCCTCAGAGATGTATTTAGGGATGCAAATCCAAGGCAAGAGAAACAAAAGCAAAAATAAGCAAATAGGGTTACTTCAAACTAAAAGTCATTTCTATCCAGAAAGAAACCATCACAGAAATAAAAAGGCAACCTACAGACTAGGAGAAGATACTTTCATAGCCCATGTGTTACAAGGGGTTCATGTCAAAATGTGTAAAGAACTCTTATAAGTCAACCACAAAAGTGCAAATATCACGATTAAAATATGAGCAAAAGACCTAATTGATACTTTTCTGAAGAAGACATTCAGATGGCCCACAGGCACATGAAGAAAATGCTCAGCATCAGTTAATTGTAAGGGAGATGGAAATCAAAGCCACAGTGAGATACCACCTCACACCTACCCTCACTGTTCAGCTCTCTCTGACTCTCTTCTGTCTCCCACCTGCCCTCCACCTGAGAAAGTTCTGTGCTTTCAAGGTCTGTGATTGTTAGGACTGAGCCCACCAAGCAATGCGGAATAATCTCGTTATGTGAAGGTCCTTAACCTTGTTACAACTGCAGAAGTTCCCAGTGGCCATGTCACAGGTGGGACATGCCGTCCTTGGGGGATCATTCTGCCTATCATACAACCCCGTCTCCTATTTTCCCTTGCAGTTTTATACCTATGTCATTTGTCCTTTAGAGTTTCTCATAGGGTGGACTTTGCTGAATGCACACCCAGTACAGTTTCACCATTACCGTGTTAATATAGAGCCTAGAAACTGCCAGTCGTCTCTAAACTGCCGAGGTCTAGTCAGGTTCAGGTTCCCTGTGGGTGCGGCTGTATTGTGGCTGGGGGTGGCTCTAACAAGCCTAACAATGGCTTCTGGTCTCAGGGGCCATTTCAGCAGCCTCCATGGTCAGTGCCCTCACTCCATTATTTCAGTACGTTTTGTGAAATAAAACGTACTGGGCGTACGTTTGGGCGTTCCAGCTTCATGTATTCCCCTTTATCAGCTATTCCGTTACTTGGAAGTAGAATTCACAGAGGAAAGGACAGATAAACTTGATTCTCTCCCTTTATTTTGTCTTCAAAGTGAGTTGGTTATCACAATGATTGGTTAGGTTTTTTTGAGTATGATTAATGACTCATCATTTTAGTGTTTGAAATACTTCAATCCATTGCTGTTATTTTTGTTCAAAGGTCCCCACCTTTGTTCAGGGGAGCTTCTTCTGGTTGGCCCCTGGGTCTTTTTGATGAGGATTCCGTGGTATTTGCTTTCAGGACTGAGGATGATCCAGTTCATCTGCTGCATTCCCTGCCATGTGTCAGACTTCAGCTCTTTTTCCACAGGGCTTCAAATTCCTTTCAGACAAAATGTTAATTTAGACCACAATCTAGGGACTAGGGATGATGATTGCTGTTGGTTTGGTCTTAGTTTGTAAAAGGCTTTTTAGTAGTCTGGGCCAGGCAATTTATTTTTAAACAAAATAATCATGAGTTCATATGATACATCTAATTTAAATTCAAGATGCTGGCATTTTAACTTAGCCTCATTTATCTAATATCTCTTCCTTCTTTCTCCTAGCTGAAAAAAAAAAAAAGTGGTTTCTTAATGACATCAGCATATTTTTTGTCTGCTTTATTCACAAAATTCACAGTAGAACCCTAAAAAATATACCAGCAATGGTTACTGAAAAAAGACAATTTTTACCATTATTTTTCATTTACTGGTATTTTCCATGGCTGTGTGTAGAGATGGTCCTCATTCCTCCTTGAAAGCTTCAGAGGACTCTGCTGTGTTGGTTCTACCAGGCCTCTGTCAGTGGGTAGATAGGTTATTTCCATTTTGTTATTTCAAATACTTCCTCAATGTATAAATCTTTTCATATTTTTGCTAGTATATCTCTTGGGTAGACACTTAGAAGTGATATCACATGCACTATTGGTACAGACCACTAAGTGCCCCCTCCATCAGGTTGTGATGTCAGTGTCTTCCCTGCAGCAAGTTATGATGGTGTCTGCCCCCCCCCCTCCATCCCAGTCTGCCCAGTAAATCCTTTTTTTTTTTTACCACTCTAATTGGTAATAAGTATCTTAATATATGTCAAATACTTTCTTGTGTGTAGTATTGAACAACTTGGGTTCAAGGGTTGTTTGCATTTTTTTGTTTCTGCATTGTCCACATCTCTTGCCCATTTTAATGTGAGATTACTGGGCATTTTCTTTCTTTTTGTAAGCCTATTATATATTAGAATATTAATCTTTTTTAATTCTTTAAGTTGTGACTCTTCCTTACTCAGTTTTCTTTCTAGTGATGATTTTTGGTGTTTTGCCATTTGGCAAGTTGTTGGTTTTTGCTTTTAAGTTTTACATTTGGATTTTCAGGCTCCCCTAAGTTATGCAGTAATTCATTCATGTTTTCACTTTTTCTTTAATCTTCTAATCCATTTATTTTTATGTGTGATAAAAGGGAAGGAGCTAAGTCTATTTTCCATGCAGCTGTGAGAGTAGGGCCACATCACTATTTAAAATGTCCTTTTCCCCTAGTGTTTTGAAGTGCTCCCCATGTCATATGTTAAGTGCCCACATTCAAATGATTGTTCATCTCTGGCTCCCTTCATTATTTGCCTGTTGTTTCTGACCTGCATTTGACAAATATGGAAAGTAGGAACCTATGATGCAATAAAACTGTTTAGATCTAAAATCCATCATGTAAATAGTCCTCAGATATAGTTGTTTTGTTTAAATGAGGAAAATAAACTCACCGTTTTGCATGTGGACATGGGAAGGTGAGCCTAAGTAAAGAGAGATTTATGAAAGTAAATTATCTCAACATGAACAGCCTTAAGAGGACTTTGAGGAGGAGCCACCTGATGGAAATGATGTGTGGGGATAGGGCTTTGGGCTCAGGACTCTGCCCCTCAGTGGTTGCTTTGTTTGGCTACAGTCTTAATTCCCGAGCCTTAGTTTCCTCCCTTCTAGAATGCAGTGAATGGACTATTTCAGGGCTCTGGTGAGCATAGATCTGCGTGCAGTCACCCAGCACAGCGCTGCTCTCGGAGTGGGAGTCTCCTCTCTCTGCCTGGGGGAAATGCAGCTATAATGTTTGCTTCAACTACTCATGAAAGTAAGGACTAGTTTGAGTTTTAATTGCAAAACCGAATCAGAGATGATCCGTAAAGGCTCATCACTCTCTCCTTGTTGTTCCACTCCCCTCACAGCAGCTTCCCAGGCTCCACTCTCAGAGTGGAGAGACAAGGTGCTCCCGGGCAGCCTTGAGTGGCTGACTCCATGCAGTCCATGTGGGCCTGGCAGCAGGGGAGACCCAGGAGAAGGGCTGAGAGCAGAGATCATGCCTTCTCTTCCCAGTACAGCCTTCTTTTCGACTTTCCAGTTCCAAAGGGAAATCTGACTTATCATGCCTCACACCCAGAAATTTCCAGAAAATCTTGTCGTCTTCACCCTGAAAGCCCCTCCCTACCCTGAAGTTGAGAGATCTTTCCCTTGAAAGGATAATTGAGTATACCTAGTACAGTAGAGTGTGTTTGTTCATTGAAGATGGAGAGGTGAGCATCTTTCAGGGCAAATGCTTCACTTTTCAGTCACCACATCTGCTTTTCCTTCATTGTGTCCTGTTGTGCTTAATTATTAGCCTAACAGTTTTCACGACAACCTACTTTAGATTGTAATAGAGTATACTTAAGCAATTTGTCATGAAAATATTTTAAAATTATTTTTAGTTATTGTTTTCATGAGCTAATTCCAACTCCAATTCATAATTTTAATCCTGTTTAAATAAATTCACTGAAAGTAGTTCAAGCAATTCATCATTCAATGTTAAAAATTGTTACTATGGGAAAAGGTGCTACATAAATATGATATGGTCCTTTTTTTTGATACAATTATTAGATTATTTTCATGCCACATTAAAAAAGTGTTTTCAGATGTATTTTTGTTTCATCTTTGTAAGAGCAGGATGATACAACCATATTTCTTTTTTTTTTTTTTTTTTTAAAGATTTATTTATTTATTTATATAAGCACTGGGTACAGTCAGAAGCGCGGGAGGGCGAGAGAATTCACTGGAGCCAGAGCGGGGAGCAGAACAGACAGACTGACGAAGTACACTGCTGAGGGGAGCAGCGGGTGGCAGGAGAGGTCTGCGCGCCCTGTGGGACCCTCACCCGGCGGCCAGGGATTGAGCCGGCACTGCAGAGGCTGAGGGCAGCTTCGCAACCCAGCGCTCAACCGCTGTGCCACCGGGGAGGCCCTACAACCATGTTTCTAACCACAAGTTATACTTGAGAAAACGGAGACTCAAAGAAGTTAAATTTTAAGTGCCCCAGGATCACATGGGCAACTGGAGTTCTGGGCTAGTAGTTATTTCAGACCTGGTTTTCTTGCCACAATGCTACAACAGAACTAAATTTGTGGTCAGCAGGAGTGCTAATATTAAACTTTCTGCATTTAACATCACATCAGATTTGCTATTGAATGACTCTTATGCTCCTTTAGCAATGTTCCATTTGTAACCTTTCAACTTTGCTTAATTTCCTTAACAAATATGACTTGCTAACTAGTCCTCTGGTTTGCCCAAATAAGAGTAAAGCATTATAGAATAACATTCTGGTCATGGGAAACCCCTGAATCAAACTTTTTTTAAAATGGCTCAGCAGCCACCCTGTGAGGGCTGGGCGCGGTGCTGAGGTCTGGCCTTGTCTTCCAGGTGGCGCTGCATGCGTGTGGAGTGGCCACGGACATGGTGATCGAGCACTGCATCCAGACTCGTGCCGCCTTCGTGGCATGCCCTTGCTGCTATGGTTTCATCCAGAACACCTCCAAGTTTAATTTTCCAAAAAGGTAAAATGCAGTATTCTACCTAAGACTGCCGTGTGGAATTACACCTATGCATGAGACTTGTTTCATGCAAAGTTACAAGGAGGCTCTGGTTTTGAGCTCGTTCCCTCTTTCCACGATGGCAGGTATTGGTGATAAGTTGTATCAGGAAGCGAGGCTCTCTGTGCCACATGTGTGCCTAATCTCTCTTGGACCAGTTCTTGCTGCATTTTGGAAGCGAGCCTGCCAAGGAGTTGGCCTCCTAGAAGTCTGCCTGCTTCGCTCGCCTCTGGGCACTTCAGAGTGCAGCTATAGCTATCCTCTGGTAGGCAATTTATAGTGAATGCTTTTTGCCTACAAAAAATGGGAATTGTAACAGTCACTACCTCAAGGCTTGTGTGGAAATTAAATGACATATGCAGAGCACTCAGAAAGGCCTAGAGCAAGCCGTCAGCAGATGGGAGCTGTCACTCTTTACAGAGGCAGAAGTAGTGCTTCAAAGTTCTGCCCAGTGGGTCTTGATCAGCCTGCAAGCTCCCAGCCATCCTCCCAGCCCTCCTCCTCCCACACAGAAGAGGGTGGTATGCTCCTTCCCTCCCTTAGCTCAGCCTTGGAGGGCCTCACGGCGTTCGTGTTCATGGAATTTACTCTGATTCATCACTACTGAGAATCAGGCCGGTGTTTTAATTCTAGCATAGATGCGCTGTGTTAGTTTGGGGAAGTCTGTCCTGAAACGTGTCAAAAAAGACCTCTTTATCAGTTACAGCATTACTTTTAAGAAACTTTAGAAGACTTCCATTCAAATTTATATTTCAAGACTCCTAAGTAACAAAGGATAAATAATAACCATTTTCTTTGTCTTTCATTGTGTTCTTCTTTACCATAATTTGGATCTAATTGAGAGGAAACCAAGGGACCTATTGGAAAGTAAAATAGAATTTGAGGCTTATTTAATAAGTGAAATCTCATTTTATTCTAAAACTACGTAGATAAAGTGTATGTTTTACAACTGTCCAAGAAATGTGCAAGTCTAACACTGTAAGGAATCTTAAGAATGTTGATTTGAGTTGTTCAGTCTGTGGTCTGACTTAACTGATTTTCAAGTCTTAATTTTTATCTCTCACTTTTTCACATCCTTGTAAATTTACTAAAGCACACAGGCCACTATTCCCCTGCTCTCATCACCCCAAGACCTGAGTCTACTGAAAGAACTCCAACTAACCAATCCCAGGCTTGCTTGCCCACCTTCCCACGGAAACCAAAATAAAGGCTCTTGCTGGTCTTAGCCTGCTCCCTGGGCTTCCAAGCAGCCCTGCCATGTCATCTTTTGGGTCTGCCAGGCACAGTGTGCCCCTCCACTTGGAACCCGAGCAACAAACTTTTCTAAGGCAAAGTCTCCTCTTATGTTTACCTCACCTGTCTGAAGAACAATAAAAGGTTGCTTGTTAAACACCTCGATCTGGTGCTTCCATGTAGGGGAGAGCAGAGTGGTTCACTTTTCTATTGGGGTAAACAATATTTGAAAGAAGTTCTTTAAAATTAATAACATACTATTGTATGCTTTTTTTTTTTATAAAGATGTTTCAAACTAGCATAGTTTTCAGTTCAGGATACTATACTCTTCAGATAAAACACATCTTGTTTATAATTTAGTTTCTTCAAGACCCTTTACTCTTAATATTTAGTATTTGAAATGATAAGTAATTTCTTTTTCTTTTCTATTTCAGTGAACAATTCAAGAAAATTTTATCATACAAGGTAACCTTGGAAAGATCTAGATGTCTTCCTAGTAGACCTTTTATCCCTTCTTTATGTTTTTCAATCCCAAGTTGCTAGTAAATAATCTATAGTTATATTTAAATTGCTCATGAACATATGAGTTCTTTTTTCTTGACAAATCAGGATGACTTTTCAGGTAGCTGCCAAGATTTATGAAAGGCCTAAGCATTTACCCTACATGGAAGCTAACACACTGGGCTGCCAGTTTCATGGATGCCAGCTTCATGGAGAAATACATAATCCCATAGGCGTTGATAAGTTAGTATGAAGTTGTTACCCACACAGGGACACCTCAGTTCATGTCACCGCTGCAGTATGACTCTTAAACACCCACCTCCTACCCACGTCTCCCTCTGGAGAGGAGAGGAGCTGAACAAGTATTCATGTGGCCATCCCCCAACCAGGACTTCTCTGGTCTTTACCGACTGGATTAAAAGTTTCATGGCTCGTGGAAATAATAGGTTTGTTGAAAAGCATGAGGGCCCTAGATAGTTTGTTTTCTCTCGCAAGACTTGGCCAATAAAGCAGAAAATGAATTGAAAAATAAAAACTCCATCTGTAGTCATCTCTCCTTGAGTAGTGCTAGGTGAAGCAAACTCTGACGATATTGTCTAGAAAAACCTAGGAATGGGAAGGAGTTAAGGCACAGCTTACCTGAGTGAAAAAGAATGTAAATTTCCAGGAGTCAAAGGGAGGGCACCCAGGTTCCTCAGAGAGCTGAACATCTCTCCCACACCCCCAAAAACTGGCAACCAGTCCCTTGATGGTCTTGGGTGATTATTCCACAGAGAAGTCTTAATCTCTTGTGTACTCAAGGTTGACATCACCAGGAGGAGGGCTGACAGGTGGAACTAAGGGTGCTACATGACCAAATATCTTGAGGTACACTTAGGTGTTTTCTCCACAGTACAGCTTATCTGCCTCACCTTTATGGGACACCTCCTGTGTGCCTCTCCTTTCAAAAGTTAACGTCTGCTGGGGAGAACACACAAATAATTCCAATATTTGGCAAGAATTAACAGTACAGGAGAAACGGCAGCTGTGGTGGTCTCCACGTACCCCAGCAGAAAGTGAGCCTTCATTCACAAACAGCGTGAGGACCCAGGCGTGCTTTGTCTGGCCCTTTCTTCAAATCATGCTTCCCGGGCCTCTGCTGCTGTAAAGAAAATCCTCTTTGAAAGTCTTCGTGCCACGTTGCTGAGATTCAAATTGTACTGAAAGAAAATAGAAATAATTTTAGGTTGTTTAGTTTGAATGATTAAAATAACAAAATGGAGCCATATTTTGAATAAAAGCGATTGGCTGAGTGGCTGAGGGTCTTACGTGTCTGTCCTAAAAGCTGCACCTGCAGAGTAGTGCACTTGATGGGGGATGTCAAATCCCATTTTCTGCAATCGTGCTCCTTTGAAAAATGCTCTTGTGTAGCTTTTTCCAGTCAAACAGTGTCAAGCTCCAAAAAAATTAGGTCTTTTTTGTTTTTACAATTTTGAAGTAGCAGGTGAAAATATGTTCTGTTGCTTTTCTTTTAGGAACACATGATTCTGTGCAGATTTGCAGATCAGACAGCTGTCCAGCTTCCACCCCAACGAAGGCTCATAGGTACGTGTGTCACCAGCCGCTCTGAGTAGGGTCTGTCCAAGCTGCCTCAGAGTGAATGGGGCCACTCGTGTGGGAAAACTGGTCCATTTATCAACAAGAAACTGAAGTTTGTTTTTCCCAGAAACTTAAGCCATACTGAAAAGGACTTTGTAACTATAACAACATTTTATCCCATTTTTTGTTAACATTAATACTTTTAAATACATTTTCAATGTTTGTACATTGAGTAGAGTTATTATGTTAAATCTCTTTTTTATTCTGAAGAACAAACTGCAGGTTAAATCAAAAGCCACAGGAGAAAATGATAAAAATGGAAAAATCAACTCTGCCTGCCAAAATTGATACATTAAGAAATGTATAAACAGGGACCGCAATCTTTCTTTCTTAGGGAAAAAACTGTACTTATGTATTATTAATCATAGACCTATTTATTTGACATTTGTAACATGAAACATTACCTAAATTGGTAGACCTAAAATAGCATTTAGAGTTTATTAAGTGATGAATTAATCCAAGATTTTGCTTTGTAAGGACTCACGTTTGGAAGGATAATGGCAACTCAGAGTTGCACATTTTAGCACTAAGCTGAGTGCTCTCCACCCACCCTCACTCAGCTCTCCTGGACCCCGCAGGGGCATGCACTGTGCACTATTCAGCTAAGTGACTGGCCCCCAACTTGCCCAGGCCCTTCAGCTGCTGGCTGAGAGTGCCATGCTGTGCACCCAAATTTCCTTAATTCTACACAGGAAGTTCTTACCTGCTTTGCAGTCCCTGCCCCCAGGGGTGGCATCACATCACTGGAAGATTAGGTCTTAAAACTAGGGTCTAAAAGTCCAGTCAAAACTAATCTTAAAAATGTAGAGAGGTCCCACCTTGGAGATCACCATTTAATGCCAGAAACAGTTTGCTGTTTCCCTGACTGGGCATCAGATGCAGTAACTAATTCGCATTCAGGGACCATGAGGTATGAGAGTTCATTACTCTGAACTCTGGCATCAAAGTCAGCGTAATAAGGTGTGCATGCTTGGAGAGGCCTTTGAGACCTAAAGGCTAAGGGAACAAGTGAATCCTTCTCTTTCTCACACCCTGGAGCATAAACATACAAGAAGCTTGCTCTTGCCTTTATGCAGCTCCTCTTTCTCCCTCTCTTTCTAGCCTCCTGCCCCGACACAACACTTTGAGTTAGTCAAACTTACGTTTGAATGTACAGAGGCGTCTTACCTCTGAGGTGTACTCTATGTGTAGTTCCCCCACACTCAGTGGGGAGATGGGGTTGTGGTCTGGGTGTGCATGAGCAAGCTTTCAGGCAACAGAAGGGAGTGGCTGGAGGGGAGGAGGCACAGCCCTTGGCAGGGGCCCTAGCAGGAGGGGAAATCAGGTTCCACCAAAGTCCTGGACCCTCAGATGTCCTCATCTGTACTTTATAAGGCTCTGCTTTTGTTCTGTGCACATTTTAGGAGGCTTCCCAAGCTCCGAAAGGTAGGATCAGCAACAACTGAGTTTCAGTTGTAAAGATACTTCTTTAACATGTGAAAACTTGAGATTCTTCTGTGTAATGGAAAAGGGGAAATTAACTAGCCTGGGCTCAAAGCCAAGGGGAAATGTGCTGCAGGGGGGGGACTGAAGGAATGCAGGGAGCCCACTCTGACAGTTGCCTTGCAGAGTGAAAAGCAGAGGGGAGCACCTACACATGTCCTCAAGAAAGAACAGAGCTCTAAGGAAAAGCCACGTCAACCACTGGGCTGTTGAGGGGGCGCAGCCGAGGGAGCCCCCGTGGAATCCGAGGCATCTCTTTATCACTCTGACACAGTTCATCTTCTGGGGCTCAGGTCCTGTTAAGGAAAATATGCAGAGTAAACATTCCACATCTGAAATCAGCCTTGCCATTTCTCACCTACTGATGCTACCTTCCTTTGCTTTTCTGTGTGGCTCCTTCTGTCATCCGCAGAAGAACATTTCTAGCTCAGTAGTCTGTCATCACTTCTGAAGCTGTTGTAGTTTAGCAGTTTCTGCTGACATTCAAATCATTTAAAAGTAATGTTTAGGCATCATTGTAGGTACTGAGGAAAATGGAATGCAGTTCTACCTAGTTAGAAACCTTGTCCAAGAACCTGGAAAGTTCACATCTTGGATTTAAAGTAATTGAAAGTAGCTTTGAATATATATTCCAGTCCCAGTCATTTCTTTCCCCTGAGCAACTTTTGAAAGAGAAGTTTGGATTTGTCAAAGGAACACAACTGCTTTGCTTGCCAGTCAGGTTTCTGCTTTTGTTTTCCAGCGACTATGAAGGAAATTGAATATCATTATTTCACTGGGTACCAAGCTCTGGAAGTCAAGATATTGTCACACTCGATCACCCATCCTCCTCAGATGATCAGCACTCATTGGAGCGCTTTCTGAAATACGTTTCCTTTCTCATTTCTTCAGGTGCAAAATAGAACATGTCTCTTAGGTGCCTTCTTGTTAGCAGCTTAGTGTAGCTATTCTTAAAGACAGTTGCTTTTTTCTCTCCCCACAGTATCACAGAGAATGTGATTTCATCGAGCATGCAGAGGACAGGTCTTAAACTAGATTTTTAACCAAGGTGGGAAATGCATTTTCAGTCTTTGAGATTTACTTAAAATGCATTTGGAAAGGTTAGCATTCTTTAAATTTTCAGCAGACACAAATGTGTAAATGTGAGATACTTGTACTCATCCTCTCTGTAGTGATCAGCAGTTCACTCCCTAGCACTCGTAGGTGCTGTCCCCGCGTGTCCCCCAGAAGGCAGGCTGTCTCATGATGCATGTCACCGCCTTTCAGGAAAGCAGTGCATGTGCCTGGTGGATCTGGATCGAGCCAGAGCTGCGGAAGAGCGAGGCTACACCGTGCAAGTGATCTCCATGGAGCCGGAAAGCTGCTCTCCCAAGAACAACTTGATTGTGGGCATCCCTGTCGAGAAGGGGACAGACATCTGAGTGCCTTCCGTCTCCAGGATGAAAGCCGTGTGTGCTCCAGGTTCTTGGCACGATTGGGAACCAGCATCTGCCTTGAGCCTGCTGTGCTCAGGAAGGAAAGTGGCAGGAACATTGTGGAAGAAAGGTTGCTTGCACAGCATCGCAAATGCTCTTAGTGTGTGATTAAAGGAGGTGTTTTTCATGGCGAAAAGCCCCTGATGTCTCAGCTGCCACAGACTCCTCCTCACTCTGGAGGCCTCATCACTGGAATAACAATTCCCTTCTCAGTTTACAGCTTTGCTTCCCTTGCCAGTGTAAGGTCCAGTTCTTGAAGCCTTTCTAATCATTTTAATATTCCAGTGGAGACCAAAATTAGATTCTGTGGGGTTTGTTTTTTATATTTTTAATAATTTTACTTTTCTATGATTTTTTAAAAAAAAATCGAGTCAGGTAATTACAGTACAGTTAAATTTTTAAGCCAGGGTGAGTTGGATTTGTATATCATTTTGTAGACTCTAATATATTTCCCATAAATTATCAAGTAAGATGATCACTAGTTCATACTTTTTATATGAAGACAGTATAAAATAATTGCAGTCAATTTCCCATATCTGGGAGCATGAATTTGGACAAAAGTTATAACTAATCTAAAGATACATTAATTCAAGCCTCCAAATAATTGCTGAAGATCCTTTATTTTCAAGACCTTGGTCTACATGCTTTTGAGGATACAATGAAAGGTTGCAAGAGATACGTGTCTCTGTGGAAGTAAATCATGTAGGAAAAAAGGGATTAAAGAATTTCTTAAGTTCTTTATCTCATAATGGAACTTGGTCACAGGCTTTGTTTTTCAGCTATCAGTCATATTTTTTACTTATTTTTTTGGTCAAACTTAACTTGGCATAACTTGAAGGCGGGAGGAGTATAGACTGTAGAAGCATATTTGAGTAGTTCTCCCTGCCTATATTCTCATTCTGTGAGCCAGTTTTTAAAGAGGTGGCATATATCTTCCTTGCATGCTGCTCACCACCTCACTTTCCTCCTCCGGTCATTCCATTTGAGAGATTTGTTTTGTTGTTGATGATGTGTACAACTACTGTGTGACAGGGGCCATGAGGAGAAAGGACTTATAAATAACTCCTTCATTGTTGTGAGTTAAAATATGGAGATAATTTATAAAGGGGATGGGAGTTTGAAGTCTTGTTTTCTCGGATAAAATTTAAGAAAACAGTTAACCATGAGCCCTATTTTTGTCCTTCAACCTGTAGACACAGAATGCTGCTGTTTGATCCTGGACGTCTTTTTTTTATTGAGGTATAACTTACAGACACTAAAATCATGTATTTTTAAGCTTGAGAAGTTTTGACGCCCATGCAAACACCATCAGCAGAAATCAGATGTAGAGTATTTCCATACCCCAGAAAGTGCCTTTGCCTCCCTTTCTACTCATTTCACCTTCTCCCCCTCTGATTTCTATTACCATACATCTGTTCTGCCTGTTTTTATCTTTTGTATAAATGAAATAATTTGGTATGTAGTCTTTTGTGTCTGACTTTTTGTGCTCAACATAGCACTTTTGAGAAATAGCCAGGATGTTATATGTATCAATAGTTTCTTCTTACTTCTCACTAATATTCCAACACACAAATTCATCAAGATGTTTTATCCATTCTCCTGTTGATATTTATTTGGATTGTGTCCACTTTGGGGGTACTAGGAATAAGACCTATGACTTCTAGTACAGTCTTTTTGTGGACATATGTTTTCATTTCTCTTATATAAACGCGTCATAGTAGAATTGCTCCATCATCGAGTAAAGGAATGTCGCTTGCCAAACAGTCTACCAAAAGAGTGCCATTTTCTGTTCCCACCAGCAGTGGTGTAAAGTCCTAGATCTTTACCCCCTCACCAGCATTTGCTGTCGCTGCCCTTCATATTTTAGCTACAGTGGTGGTTGTGAGTGGTACCTCTGATGGATTTAGTTTCTTTCCTGTGAACCATCATTTTCATGTCACTTGCTTATCTTTAAAATTACATTATTTAGGATTTTGTAGTTGTTTATTTATAAGAATTTTCTATTCTGGTTTTGAGTCCTTTGGCAGATATATTGGGTTGTCGGAAAAGTCATGACGCATTTTTGCTTGAAAAACAGAAAAACTTTTCTGACAACCCAATATGTATATAAGGTCTTTAACTTATGACAGTTTGACTTACCTTTTTTTTTTTTTTTTTTTTGACTTTGCAGTGGCGCAGAAATCATGTACGTTCTGTAGAAGCCATGCTTTGAATATTGAATGGGGGTCATTGCCAGGGCTATATAGGCAATACATAGGCCAGTGGCCACAGCTCCCCGCCAGCCCCCAGATTATGTGGGGAGCGACCAATCCTCTAGAGTGTGTGTGTTCCCAGTGTCTTTGTATATCTTGCTGTGTGTTGCTGCCTCCCTTCTGGTCTACAATACACCCATCTTTGTCTCCTGCTTCTGGTGAGAAGAGGTGGAAGATATTACTATTGAAACTCAATCCAAGTGAAAGCTAATGTGAGTGTTTTAAGCACATTAGGCTGGCCGGGCTGAGCCATGACATGTTCCAGAGGGTCGGTGTGCTACATGCATATTCAGCTGATCGTATTTTTGGCCCATAGTGGTTTATGACATAGCCCTATTTTAAGTCGAGCAGCACCTATACGTGGAGAATTTTTTTCCTAGTCTGTGACTGACTTGTTTTCATAATGACCATTTTAATTTTCATGTAGCCTCAATAATCTTCTATGGTTACTATTTTGTGTGTACTCTAATAAATCTTTATCAACCCTGAGGTTTTGAAGGTTCTTCTGGTGATTTCTTCTAGGAGATTTAATGTTCCTTACTTTTTATGTCTAAGTCTATGATCCATCTCAAATCAGTATTCTCTTTTAGGGACAACTACGCTTTGAGGAATGGACACTTGTTTCAGCACCATTTGTTTGAAAACCTTTCCTCTCCCCTTTCACATTACTGGTGGTGCAGGGGTTAAATTCTCAGTGCTATCAAACTATCTCCAGCCACTGCATCCTGAGTTTGATTCCTGGCCAGGGAGCTGACCCACATGGTGCAGCAGACCTCCCCTGTCTTGTCTATTGCTCCCCTTAGCGGTGTATTTCAGTAGATCCTCCTGTTCTGTTCCCTACTCTGTCTCTAGTGAATAGTCTCACCCCCCGCACCTCTGGCCTATACTCTAGTTCTTGTATGCATAAATAAATAAATAAATAAATAAATAAATCTTTTTTTTTTTTTTTTAATCAGTTGATATATATGGACAATTCTATTTCTGAATCTTCTACTCTTATCCATTAATTTTTTTGAATGTAAATTTTGAAATTATGAAAAATTTTATTTTCCAGGTTGTTTTGACAGTTTTTGATCAATTCTATTTCTATATAAATTTTACATTTGGCTTATCAGTTACTTGTGGGGAGAAAAATCCTGCTTTGTTATTGCCTGGAATCTTTAGCTCATGCTAGGGAAAATAAACATTCTTAACAATACCAAGTATTATAATCCATGAACATAAGATACCTTTCCCCGTATTTAGATCTTCTTTAATTACTCTTAGCATATTTTGTAATTTTCAATGTAGATGTTTTGTTTCGTTTGTTATTATTTGACAGTTCTGTTGCTGTTACTTCGAGCTATGGGCCAGCTGTTCCACTACCAAGAATAGTCTCCTCTTAACCCTCCCACTAGCTTACTCTCATTCATCCTTCTATTCTTAGACTTGACCTTCTGAGGGAAGCCTTTCTAACTTCTCTGCAGTTGGGTGCCTGTTACAGGATGCTCACCATCCAGAGGAGTCTTCCCCATTCTTTCCAGGTAACTCAAGCAGTTCCCATCCCCTCCTCCCACCACACCTCCCCTCTCCCTATCCCTATCCTCACCCCACCCCTAAACTACCCGTGTTCTCAGGCATGGAATTTTCTAGCGTGGATGGCTATGGCTAGTCATCCACCAGGGCATTAATGATCACGTTGTCAGCCCTTGCCAAGGCTCCTCTTCAGCCAGGGCCAAGGAAAGGGGTCAGATGCTGGCAGCAGGTCACAGTCCCAAGAAGTGACCTTATTTCACCCCACCAGGTCCATCGAAAGCAAAGCCCCCCTTCACTGATCTGTATCCCCGGGGGTGTGATACTAGAACCTGGAGCTCATCTTTAACTGACTTGATTCTAGATCAGAGAAGCAGGCAGATCTTGTTCAGGGAGGCAAATTTCTGTCATATTAGAAATCAGAACATTTTAGATTACCCATGCAGGATGCCCTGGGAATAACAGTATTTTAGCCCCTCATCTTACATTCTCCAGATTCCAGTCACTGGTGCTGCCCACTCCGGGGTTCAGAGAAATCACCACTAATAGAACTTCCATGTACTGACACTGCTTTTCCCTACTGCCTTTCTTAATGAAATTAGAGAGGGGTTCCAGTGGAAGTGATACCATGACATCAAAATAAAACTACATTTTTAAAGTTACAAGTAAAAAGAAAAAAACAGACTCACAATACGATGTCGTTAGGAGATTTTGAATAGTTTTTTAAGTCACTCTCAGAAATTTGCATTTGTTGCAGAAAAACCAGGTGTGACTAAAAAAGAAAAAAATTTAAATCACTGTATTTTTTTGTATCCTCTCTTAGACTTTGTTCTACACACACACACACACACACACACACCCCACAGATTTATTTAACACATACAAATAGAGTCCTTAACATTGAGCTAGGCGCTATGCCAAGTCCTTTGTAAATAACAGCTCATTTCACCTTTTTTTATGTCCTCCTAATGACCATAAGAGCTGGACATGCTTAATAATCCCATTTTGTGGCAACTAAAACTAAGGTTTCACAGAAAGAGCAAACCCAGGCCTGAACTCAGCCTGTAATTGGCAGAGCTGTGTTGGAGTTCAGTCTCCTTATCCACCCTCCCAGGACTGGTGGAGATGGACTGTGCTAACAAGATCTCCCTGCTTCTTGAAGTTCTACCCAAGAGAGGAGTATTTTTCTCTCACACTGCATACCATCCAGTTAGCTGTGACTCCCTGTGGTCTTCACTCCTGGCCTAGCAGCCTTTATCTCCAACATAGCTGTTCTCCCGCAAATGGGAGAGATGGGCTCGCTGCTAAAGACTGTGATGCCTTGCGCTAGCTCCCCTCATCCTGTTGATGAAGTGAGTTACGTAGCCCCTCCTGAGTGGGACAGGGTGGAGATGTGTTATCTTGATGGGGTGGAGGGTGTACAGAATTGCAAACAATAATAAAGGCCATATGGAAGCAAAGTCGTTAGAAGAGGAAGGAGAAGAGAGAGGAGGAACAGAAGGAAGGAAAAAGAACCAACCAGCAGCACTTGCATCTTCCAGGTGAGAACCGGCAGTTCTGAATGCTGTTGGGGCATTTTTATTGGTTCCATCAAGGAGGGGGGGCATGCACCATAGCATTTCCTGCCATTGGTTTGTGGGCTACTTACTCTTACCTTCCAGAGGAAATTTCTAGAAAAGCACACATAGGATTTGTTTTTTATTGCAGAAGGTTGGAGAAACTTCTACTGAATGTAGTGTCAACTTTGTGAATTCTACTTCCTACTGGAGTATCTGATTCATAATGCCACAGCATTCTTTTGGAAGGCCTGGGCTTGCAGCCCGAGACCTACGTGGTTACTGCCCAGCGCCCTGAGCCAGCACAGGCATTGGCGGGTTTTTGTTTTAGAATGAACCAATTTGATGGGGGAAAAAAAATGGCTCTATTGTTTTGATTTTCATTCTTGAAATAATTCATGTGGTCACATACTTTTCATTTGTTTACCAACTTATTCTGAATTTCCTCTTTATCAATTTCTTCATTTAATCTAGCATTTATTGACCCTTGCTTTGAGACCAAGTACGGTGTTCCTGTTTGTTGCTAATTTTTCATCTGGTTCTTTCATCTTTTCTGTAAAGGCTTATTTTTGGATTAGAGACTTTTGTTAATTGCTTTAGAGCTTTTTAAGTTGAACTTCACAGAAGAAGGTGTTTTTGGTTTTGTTTTGCTATACTTTTGTTTTGCTAACTTTAGAATGCACATTGGGACATATATGTCATTTTCACATGGTTACTACTTAGAAAGATTTCTCTCACCCACTGATAAAAAACACTTATGTATGTTTTTGATATCCTAATTCTTTAACAGTTTTAGTTTTCACATTTAAACCTTCTCTCTGGTCAGAATTCCTCCTGGCAGGTGGTTTGAGATAGACATATAGTATTTCTTTTAACGTTATATTTTATTTTTCACAAACACTGCATAAAAATCCAACTTTTCCCAACTGATTGGTGATGCCTTAGCCTGCTAAGTATCCTGGATTTCTTCACTTTTCTTCTGTTTTATTGAATTCCTGTACTACAATTGGATTCCCTAAATGATTGCACCTTCCTGGTGTGCTTGGACATCTATCTGGTAGGCTGAGTTTTGTGATGTGATGTTTCAAATGTGAAGGGTTCGTGACCCAAGACAGACAGTGAGCTGCCCTGCCATTCCAGGTGGGTGTGTGTTGTCCCAGACAGAGGGGCCCTGGCTTCAGGTTCTCAGAAGGACTCATGACCCTGGAGGACACCAACCATCGCTGGTCTGCAGGAAGCGTGAGCCTTGTAACAACTGTGTCCTGCCCTCAGGGACCAGCAGGTACTCATTCCCCCGGACTCCTGTTTTATAGCCTTCTACAGTAGCCCCATTTTCCTCATTGTGTCTGTGTGTTGACTTTTAAACCTAGTTTATCTGAACTGAATAATTGTATAATCTAACAAGAAAGGAAAATTCACCAGCAGTCTGTTTACTGGATGGCTGCTCCAGTTTCCTGAGAATTAGAATAAGGTGAGTTAGATGCCGTCAGCTGCTGTCACCTGTTCTCAGAGAAGGCTTTGTGCCCAGTTCGTGTGAAGTGACCTCTTCCAGTTCCTCTCTTGAGCCCCACAATGTGTGTGTGTGTGTGTGTGTGTGTATGTGTTTACTAGGTGTTCCCTCTCAGATGACAGCTGCAAGCAGCCTGTTGTATCCATGATTATCGTTTCAGCATTTAATCCAGTGTCAGGCACATGGTAGGAATGCAGTAAATGCTTATAGCACGAATAATACATGTTAGCACCTTCTCATTGCCCCACGTGCAACAAAAAACCGAGGGCTCTTTCCCTTCCCTCAGATAGGCATTCATCCGGCCATCAGGCGCATGAGACTTTGGTATTGTTTTGATGTGTGGTGTGCTTACTTTGTTTACTATTCTTCAAACACACTTACCAGATCCAAAGCTAAATAAAACTGAAGTGGCAGTCACTGCCTGTGTCTTCTGAATTGTTGCTGTGAAGAACACACCAGTAAATTATTTTCCCTGTCCCTGGAGGGAAAGGCAAAAGGGATATGCTTGAGCTAAGGCGAGGAGAGAAGGTGCTGAACACAGACTGGTTAGTTTGGTATTTACGGTGCAAACCTGCCCCCGCCTCACACTGGCCACTTGATGAATATATGTACATTAAGTATGGTGAAGGGAGGAATCAGACCTTTGGTGGGGAACTTGATGTGGTTTATCCATGCTGATTCTCATTGATGCATGCCCAAAACTAATATGATAGTGTCATGCATTCTTACCGCAGTACAAAAGACAGTACATGCATTCTTACCGCAGTACAAAATAGATAAAATGCAAAAAAACTGCATCCATCGAATGAGTAATACTGAATGGCCATTAAAGAAACAAATCCAGATTCTCCCTCCCCTCTTGGAAGGGGCAGTGGGGCAGCCCTGGAGAGCCACGGGCTTTCTGCCCTGAGGTTCTCTGCTTTGCGGAGATAGCTAGCTCAGCGCCTTGAGAATGGTGGAGACAGCTTGGTACAATTTTGGAATGCAGCACGTTATTGAAAACAACGTTATCCCTTAAGGTCTATTCCTTCAGTAGTCAGTTAGAACTTCTTGGGTGGGCTAGGAAAACCAACATAGATATAAAAATTTACCATAGACAGTTAAAACCATGATTTATGTACATAATAGTATTGGAGGTGAATGTTACACATAATCAAATCTACTTCACTGCAAATTTTTAATGTGTTTATTCAATTTGGAGCCTTCATAAATCATTGCACAGCTTACTTAGAACTTAAAGAGACTGAAAATACGTAAGTACTTCGCCAAATAAATGATGATTGTTCCTCATTATTTTTTTTTTTTTTTTGGACACAGAAAA